CTTTAATTTAAAATGGTTAGTGAGATTGCAAAATTCATATTTGATGAGAGCACCCATTTTTGAAGTTTTCTTTGCATAACCTGTTTATGAATGTCTAAATGCTGGCTGAATTTATACAGTAACCATCAGCTGTAACATCGTGCAGTGAAATCTAACTTATCGGAGTACATTTGTGTTCAGATCTAGATGTGGGCTTACCTCATGACAAAGTGAGGGAGTTTGCGCATGTATCAAGTGACAGAATATTTGAACATGAGGACTGTGGCCCTGTTGAGAGTTTAAAGATGTCAATTGATTTCTCTCAGACTGGGGTGGCAGAGATTGCACAAGCTATGCAAGATGGAGAATATGATATTAACACAAACTCCAGCACAGAATAAAAGGTGAGATGGAAAGATTCACACCAAATGCCACTGTATGGTACTTTTCAGACAGGATATTCGCTATCCTGACTAAGACTTTCATACTTATCCTCAGTCCCCTTGTGGCAAATGTGAGGATAGTACATTATCTTCATGTCAGTATGATGGATTAAGTTCTTATCCTGCTCTTGTTACAAGAATGATGAAACTGAAGCAAGTTCTTCTGTTAAACATACGTGAACAAATTATGGTACATGTCTATATGTAAGTGGTTTATTGTACGGAGAGAGTATTTCTGTTGAACAGAGGAAATTATAGTCTGTAAACTTCGCTGTATTTAATGTTTCCAGCCTGTGCCACCTATTGTTCTAAGAGCCCACGTGGTCAAGAAAGAGTTACAGGAAACTAAAAACCTGAAGCAGAAACTAGAAGCGAAGGGGGTGGATATAAAGGTAATTGGTGAATATTGATAGCTAATTTTTCCTTGAAAAAAATCACTGTCACATTTGATAACAAATTTTTCAGAAAACCCAAATGTGAGAAACCAATCGGGAGACGTAGGCATAGATGGATGGAATGTATCTGAGAGAATTAGAGTGCGAGCATGTGGAATAGGCTCAGGGTAGGAACTAGTGGTGACCTCTTGTGAACACAGTGTTTGAGTTCCCAATTTCTTGGTCAGCTGAGCAACATCTAGCTTCTGAAGAACGAGTCTGCTCTATAGATACTGAAATTCCTATTCACACTCGCATGTGTTATCATAAAAATTGGCGATAATGAAGTGAAATGTTCAATTGCAGGAGCTAATGATTTCCTTGAAGCTAAAGCAGGAGGAAGTGAGTGAGATCACTATTAGAAAAGAACTAGCAGAAGAGAAGCTTGGAAATGTGAACAAAGTCTATGAGCTGACTATTGAGAAGTTGCAGATAAGTTAGCTGAGCCACAGGCATGATATTACTTCACATTTGCAAGTCCTGGTTTTGTTGTGATCGCATTTGTAGGGCCTTATTCAAACTGTATGGAAACATTTTGTCCTAACTCATTTAGATTCTGAAGAAGTATCATTAATTATTTCTGTGGAAAGTGAAAACTGGTATCACATTTTTCCCAAAGTGTTTTATTTCTGTATATTATATGTTTAGAAAAGTGGTTCTCAAACAAAAGTTTTGTCTGGGCCATATTCACTTTTACATAACATTTACATGTAATTGTGCCAAAACCTAAGTAGACTGTGATAATTTTTTAAACATCTTGCTTCCTTTGTTTCTTCTGTGAACCATAAAACTAACATAATAAAAAGTAGAATAAGAATATACTACTGGTTTATTCCCTCAGAGTAATCTCCTATTAAATCCATACAGTTCTATCATTGGTGCTAACCTAACAGTAAACAGTTTTTGAAGATCATTTTTAGTGCTGCTGTTTAATGTCTTGAATTTAGTGTTTATGGTGTCCTTTTAAACAGTTCATGAGTTTGAGAAATAAAAAAATTGTTAGGAGGCAAGAAGACAAGAGGTTTAATTATTGTTATCTATTTTGTATATTATTCATACCTTCTCTTTGAATCTCCTGAACCAATGTTCTTAATGTGTCACCCATTTTTACAGTGAACATGTATCAAGAACTGATAAAAGTGAACTCTAAACAAAAGAAGCCACAAGCACAGTTACAGCCTTTTACAAAAGAATAGTTTCACTGTCATTGAACTTTTGAATCTTTCATTGAGAGTTTGCTTTGCTGACTCAGATATATGACAGGTTTTATTCTCAACACTCCTGCTTTGTATTCAGGAGGTTCTGGGTTCACATCTCTGCCCGAGAGACTTTCTATCATGACTGGTTTTTTCCGTGTTTTTCCTCAGTCCTTCTAGGCAAATGCCAGAATAGCTCCTTAAAGAAGGCTACAACTGCTTCCTTCCACATCCTTTCCAATTCACTATCTTCCTGTCATTTGGCACTATAGTCTCAGCTACTGGAAAAAGCATCATTAAATAAACTACAAATCAATAAATAAATATCCTGACTTCATTAGAATGTTATGATGTGGTTGTTGGTTATTTTTTTCTTAATTCTTATTGGTGCTGATATTTATTTTAATGATTTGTCGCTATTTGTTTGTGAGTCCAAAGTGCAGGTGTCTGTAGATTGACAATAGCTGATGACATATCTAATACTAGTTATTGTGTATTTATATCTTCTGAATAATTCACTGCAGTAATGTTCCTATTTTATCAGTGAGTTCTCCTAGTCCAGTGCAGTACCCATCAACACGAAGCTTGCCTGCAGTGGTTCATGACACCACTTGTGATGCAGGAGATTAAATGCGAGGCCAGGATCAAGGAGCACGAACGCCACATCCGGCTCGGGCAGCCCGAGAAATCTGCGGTTGCTGAACACCGCTTCAACATGGAACACTGCATACAGCTCGAGGACACTTCTATCCTCTCCTCGAAAACCGGCTACATGGATCGGATTATCAGGGAAACCATCGAGATCGAACTACATCCCGATAACTTTAACAGGGAAGATGGACTTCACCTGAGCCGGTCCTGGAAGCCTCTTATTCACACACTTCGAGGACTCCGAGAGTGCGCCGCCAGAACCAACCAGACCACTGACATGGCCCTTTTCAGGGACCAGATCCAGCCAACCAAACTCAGCCTTTCTCTCTCTACTTTCTCTCCCACTCTCGCCCACCTGCTACCATTGGTCCACTCCCTCGTCTGCTCCCATTGGCTCGGGGCAGGCTACACCTTTCACTTTCCGGCCCTATAAACCTAGCACTTCACACCCTATTGGCATATTCATCGCCCTGATGACGGAGGCAGTGTGGCCTCTGGTTAATAACGACCAGACTACACAGCGCAACAACCCAGAAGACGGAAATCTTCATACTCACCGCTGTGAGAACCTCAAGTCTTACACAGTCATATGTGTCTATGAATTTTTCTGCTTACAGATTGAAGCTTTCACTTCTGCCAAAGATAAAAACTTAGGCTCCAATCATGATTTGGATCTCATGTCAGACTGCAGGTATTTGTGCTGACCATCATTCTCATGATCGCCCTATCAGTCGGAGTATTGGAATTTGCTGTATGGTGTTCTCACCTCAGAAATAGATTCTGCCCCCTTGCATAGGTCGGCACATGCCAGGATGGTCATCGTACCTGGAGGCATCACATACAGAGGAAGAAAGAAACAAATAATCTTCTCCACTTGCAGATGGAAGTTGCTAGATGGAAAGCAGGAGGCAGAGTGAAGGCTGATTTTGCATTGTTCCCATCTACAGAAATGACCAAGGTAAGATGCAGTATTAGGACCCTTCAGAAAGGTGAGATTGTAGGAGAGTAATATGTAATGTACTTCTCATTTTGTATGTAGTTTCATATGGGAAGTTCACTTACCAGTCTTCCATCTGCAGATGTTTCACTGAACTACTGAATGGTATTGTTTTAGTGGCAATTATCCCCCCCCCCCACTGTGTTGATGTATCCCAATTTCCACATGTGTTTTGCATGTCGGATATTTACAGAACATGAAATTGATGCAGCGTCAGTATGTGTTTTTGTCTAAACCATTATAAATATGAATGAAAATTTTACTTGTAATTAACTACCTCTTCGGTTTTTGTTTCAGGCACTTCACGAAAGTAAACCTGAAGTGATTGGACATCTTACAATTCCTGTTACTGACAATCAATCGGCCAGCGCTTCTATTGTACCCCTTATCTTGAACCCTGAAGCATCGATGATGTTACAGAGGAAACTATTGCAGATGTTTTATAAATTAAGCATTTGCAAGACATCAGCAGAAAACTAGAATTGTCACACAAATTGGTTGTATTTATTCAGTTTATTTCATATGATGACAAATTTTAGTTTTTGGTTTACCTACACTTGTGTGAGCTACATATTGTTTATGTAGTTCGGCTTGTGAGTCATTATTAGGAGGTTATGTTGTTTACCAAACAGTAAAGTTGCAAATCTACAAAAAAATTTGTTTTAAAGGAGTGGCAGAAACTATTTACATTGTCAGAAAGAAAAATTGTAGTTGTGTGGTCATTTTTGCTTATTCATCTTCAAGATTTCAAAATTGCATTTTTGTAGATCCACAATTTTCTCTTTGGATTGACTCATTATAATAAATTGTTAAATTGTCTTGTAATTTTTATGTTAAAAGCATTTTTACGTATTGTAGTAAGACTTGCCATCTTAAACTTTCTTTCTTTTGTACAAGTTTCATATTTGTGGACTGGGATCGCTCGACTTTTTCAGAATTTTTTTATTCTATATGTGCACATTGTGGTGTTCCACGCGACATCCGCTTATGATATTTAAAAGTAGGTGAACAATGTACAGGAAGATGGAGCAGATAACGGATAAGAACAACATTTCATTTGCAGCAAAATAATCCATTTTCTTTGGGATCATTTTTCGTACCTTTTGCGGTGAAGTTTCATAGATAATATTAAACATAATATTAGTCATATTACTACGGGTGTTTTGAAAGTTGTTTATACAGTTTGTAAGTTAGGACCTTAGCTCAATTTTACAGGCAATATAGGCTGATATTTTACAAAGGAAAGCTGGAAATGGGACACATTGAATTCATAACAAAGTACTGGTACTCTTCCTAACATATTTGTATTGGAAACATCAAACACAAACCTGCATTAGAAACAAAACTATTTTGATTTCCCTCGTGCTCCAGATTATGAAATTCTTGCCGTATATTCATTTCTGTTTTACATTCAAAGTTTATAATTTTGGATGAGTTGCGTATCTGTAACTGGCACTCCGTTATGTTTTGAACATAACTTCTTTCATTCATTAGGTGATCACTTTCTGTTGTGTATATGGTTGCCTTTGCCTTGGTTCTTCACTCTCATGAACATGGCAAAATATTTGTTTATATTGGTAACACTGTATTTTTGCAGTACATCATTTTGTAAAGTTAGAAAATGGTTTGAAAAATAGTAAATGATTCAGTTACTGAATTTCATATGGTTTTTCTAGTCCAGTACTCTATATTATTTCAACAGGAATGTAAGTGTGCATTTGTAATTGTTATAAAAATTGACCAAGGTCCTGTCTGCTTTATGA